ACTGTCTCTCTCTCACTCTCTCTCTCACACACACACACACACACACACACACACACACACACACACACACGTTTTTATGCATTTGGCCCTGGATGTTTCACAATATTCCTGTATTTCATTTGACATTTATGATTTCATTTACTCCCCAGGGTTGAGTAAACTTGCTGTTTATAAAGTATAAAACCTGTAAACCATGTCATGATTTGGTCAATAACATCCTGTAACAACCAAATATGTACAGTATACTGTTACTTTGGGGATGGCAAGATGTTTTTAAATGCTTTTGAAAAGTCTCTTGTGCTCATCAAGGCTGCATTTGTTTGATCAAAAATGGTATTATTGTAAAATATTATTACAATTTTAAAATAACCTTTTTTCTGTTTGAATATATTTTATATCTTTATTTATTCCTGTGATGGCAAAGCTGAATTTTCAGCATCATTACTCCAGTCTTCAGTGTCACATGGTCCTTCAGAAATCATTCTAATATGCTGATTTGCTGCTCAAGAAACATTTCTGATTATTATCAATGTAAAAATAAAATAACAATTGTCAATTATTTATAATAAAATAGTTGTGCTGCTTAATTTTTTTGTGGAAATCGTGATGCATTTTTTCAGGATTCTTTGATAAACCGAACATTTATTTATTTATTTAGTAACATATATGTATGTATACTGTATATGTATTATATATGGTGGATAATGAACTGGGTGCAAATTTTGCTACAGATTGAACTTTGCGTTCAAGATTCACCTCAGGTAGTGGCATATATGTTGACTCTTCTCATCACAGTGATTGATGGCCAAACTGAGCTGTTTATCTTTGGATTTGTGTACCATTGGACCTCCACTGTGTAACAACGCTTCCAAGGTTCATGTTTACTTTCACACATCTCCTGCCTCTGTCTTTTCATCCAGACTGAAAAGGAGGAGGTTGTTTGACGCCGAGTCAACACACAAGCAGAAGCATAACAATGCATACAAATGGTCCTGAATAGAAAGGCGCAAATTGGTGTG